AGCTCCTGTGTGTACACATACATGTGCCCACATGTGTCCCACACAGCTGAAGTCCCCTCTCTGACAAGCCAAGCCGTCTGTGAGCCCAGGCTGAAAGGGCTGCCTTTTACCCTGTTTCCAAACAACTCCCCTTTCTGGGCCAGCACCACTGCTTCTCCCGCCTGTTTGCCCCTCACCGCCTCCTCCCTCTGTTGGGGCTGCCGCTGATGATGCAATTTGGCTTGCAACACCCTCTTCCTCCCCTTCCTGCAGGCCTGGGAGAGGATTAAGCCGCTGGAGTCTGAAATCGGAAAGATCCCAGCTTCTGCTCCCCAGCACCTCCCCACGCCTCCTCCCCCTCCCCGCCCATGCAAAACCAGAAAATTAATCTCCCCTTCTGCCTGTGATATGGCGGGCTGCGTTACAAGCTGGGAGTCGAGATAAAACGGGGAGCCGCGGGACAGCGGCCCAGCGCAGGGGCCTCGGGTGGGGCCGGCCTGGGAGATAAGGGCCTCCCAGCTCCATGAATTATTCACCCGCACTGCCTCCTCCAGCTCAGAGGCCGCCCTGGGCGCTGAGATTGCGCCTTCCTAAGGGGCCTGGGTAAAGTGGGAGGAGGGTCCCTGGGGAAGGCTGGGGCTATGGAGGGGTCCTCCTATGGGAGGGAGAGGGGAGGATGTGCTTAGCTGGGGGACAGCTCGAAGACACAAACACCCTGCAGGACCACCTGATGCAGAGGAAGGAAGGTGTCCCCAGTCCTACGGGACCCCCAGACCCCACCATGGCCCCCAGGGATGCTCCTCATGTCTGCAACTCACTAAACACTATTGAAAGGCTGCAGTTGCCAGGCTCAGGCCAGGTCCTGGCCTCTGGAGAGCTGGAGATGAAATCCCTGCCCTTGAGGTGCCCAGATTCCAGTGCACCTGCTGAGCATGTGTGGAGCACCGCCCACTCCCCCAGGGTCTGCCTTGCCCACAACCCTGCTGCCCAACCCACCTTGGGGAGCGGGTAGGACGGGAAGACAGAGGACAGACCTGCTTCCAGGACAGCCAGAGTCCACAAAACAGAGACCAGGACAGCTAGTGCAGGAGAGAATTGAGGGCAGTGGTAAGGGATTAACCAGGGAAGTTTCTCCGAAGAGGAAAAGCCCCAGGCACTCTGGGGGTCTTTTGTTTCTCTTTCCTTCACTGTTCTTTTCAAAGACTCAGAATTTTAAAGCAGAGAGGGACCTTAGCAGTCTCTTCCCTATCTCAGAGTCTCTATTTCTACGTCTCCTCACCCTTTCTCTCTCATCTCAATCCCTCTCCTCCTCCTTCCTCCCCTGCACTTGCCCTTTTAATCTCTGCCTTGTGCCAATTTCTCCACCTCTCATTTGCTCTCTGCCTTTCTGTGTCTCTCAATCCCTGTTTTCTCTTTAATCAGCCCTTCCTTCTGAAGGCATGACTCCCCAAATGACATGATCACATACAAATTGGGACATGTGATGGAAGAAAGGTGGTCATCTGCTGGTTCCCCAGGGAGGAAGGGAGGAAAGGGGTCCAGCATGTTTCTGGATGTGCAGATGAACTCCCAAGACCCCCAGTAAAATATCAGTGTGGGAAGAGAGCCCCCACCAGAGACCCACTGGCACAGGAAAGAGACTGAGATACGCAGAGCGCAGGAGTGAAAGGTGCTAGCAGAGGGTGAGGACCAACAGAGATCCCATCAGGATTGCATTGGAGGGGACTCAGCCTGGCAGGCAACCTTGGACCTGCTGGCTTCTGTAGCAGGTATGGACCCCACACTCATGAACTGGTAAACAAGGCACTTTTTTTGAGATCCATATTCAAGTTGGAGAGGGAGGACCAAGGAGGGAAGAGAGAGAAGGGGTGGAGAGTGAAGAGGGGCCAGCAATGAAAGTAAGACGGGGGCAGGAGGAAATGGTGAGCCCCTGAAAGATGGAGAAGGCAGTGACTTGGGTGGGAAAGAGGGGAAAAGCCAAGTGGGGGTGGAGAGAGATTAGAGAGAGGAATGGGGAAGAAATGGGGAGCACAGTGAGGTGGGGGAAAGGCAAGGGCAGCAGGGAAATGAGGGAGGAGGGTAAGAGGAGCACCTGTACCAGAAAGAGAAAACAGGTGGAGAAGATGAGGATCACGGGGACCAGGTGGAACACAGAAGGGTGGAGGGAGGGGTGTGTTGATGCGCCCCTCAGCCTCTCTGTCTGCAGCCCCTTTCCGCCCGCCCACTAATTAACTCCTTAATTGTCTCTGCATTTGCTGAGCTAGCAAATGAAGTGGATGCAGACAGATGGGGGCGAGTGTGATTTCACGCATGGGGGAGCGGAGAAGAGCTGCCTGAGAGTCCCAGGGGGCCTTGCCTCCCTTTGCTCCCCCCCACAGTTCCTGAGAGATTGAAGGGTGCTTGCACACCCGGAGCAGAGGGGACCATCTGCAGGGGAAGTGTCCATGGGGAATTTACCCCATCAGACTGTCAGGGATGAAAATAATACTTGCCACTATTGAAGGAACACTTACTGTTTATCGGGCACACATTGTTTCTTCACTGTGGGTGTTAGCCTGATTTTATGGTTTGTGGAGAAAGTGAGGCTCAGGCAGGTTAAGTAATTTGCCCAAGATCACACAGCATTGATGTGACAGAGGTAGGGTTTGAATCCAGGCCAGCATGTTGCCAAAGTCCTGGGTGGGTCCTGGCCACATGCCTTGTGCTGGTGCCTCATCCTCCATTTCACTCCTGGCCTTTACACTAGAAACAACTGTCAACGTGTTCTTCTCCTTTGACTGGGAGATTTCGAAGGCAGGGACTATGCCAGGCCTTGCCCTCTTGCCAGGGCCAATTCTGAGGTTTGACACAGGAAAAGCCTCAGTGGAGGTTTGCTGAAATTTATAGGACAGGGATGGGAGTGCCTGTGCAGGGATCTATCTCACCTCAAATGAAGAGGAAACAATAGCATGAGGAACTTAGGTTGTGCACAAAAAAGGACTTCCAAGGCTGGGGCCAGTCATGCAAGGAATAATACTGAAGACCTGATTCAGACCCATGCATTCTGAAGACCAAGATTTCTCAAGACTGGATGCTGTATTTTAGAGGTCTTGAATAGTTGGGAAACCCGGGCCCCACCCTCCAGATATTCTGATTCAATTGGTCTAAGGTGGGGGTCACAGCATCAACATTCTGAAAAACTCCCCAGGTGATTCAAACGTGCATCCTAGGTTGAGAACCACTGAGATTCTTCTCTGACCTGGCTGCACTGGTGGTTTTACCACTGGATCCAAACACTAATGCTAATAACAACTTATTAAGGATATTCTAAGTACAAACTAATGTGCTAAGCACTTTCTATGCATTAGCCCACGTAATCCTCAGAAATTCCTGTGATACAAATATTATCCCCATCTTACAGATGAGGAAACAGCTCAGAGAAGTCTAGGGACCTGCCCATGCTAAGGAATAGCAGGACCAGCTCTGGAAGCTGAGATTGCCTGATTCACATCTCCTATCTTCCCCCAGACTCCTCCTGAGGCTCCTCATTGGCCTCAATCAGTCCCTGCCTGCCTCCACCTCACCTCATCACCACCTTCCTTCCACCCCCGCTGCTGCCTCAGTAATATCCCGGGTGACTGAAGCAATTTGCAGCCATTTGAAGAAGCTCCATGTGTCACTCAGTCTGCGAGGGTGGGGAGTTAGGGGCATTACCGATGCTCCGAAATGGCCCTCTTCTCTGCCTGAGGACACTTGGAATTCAAGAATCAGACTCTGCCCAGTGCTTCCTCTGGTTCTTTTTTGGGGCCCTCCCAGGCAGAATTCCCATTCCGAACTGCCCCCTTGGGTTGATTCTAAGTATCTGGGAGAGTGCTGCCACCTAGTGGCTACCCAGGGACATGGCAGCCCTCCAGCACCTGGTGCTGCTGGACAGCTCCCCAGCCTAAGACCAGAACTCAGGATCTCCACCCTTCCTTCTGTCTGCTTCACGCCCAGGCCCCTAGTAAACGGATCTCACTCTCTCCTCCACATGCTCCTCCTAAGCCCGTACTCTCCTTAGGGATGTCCAGTTCCCTCTCTGGCTTTCCACGTGTCTCCTGCCCCCAACCACTTACAACTTTTCATCCAACTTCTTTCCACTATGCCAGTCCCTTCTCATTGCAGGTTCTTTCTTCTATCCTAGAGCCCTGGGAAAATACTTCTCACCTTCTTTCTTCCAGAGCTGCACCAGCCTGCAAGTGGAGTGAAGAAGCTAGAGATAGAATTCTGGTCCCCCACACCCACCTCCTTGTCATCTGACACCATCAGATCTCAACAGTCTAGGTGCTAAGAGCCCCTAATGAGCATCAGCAAATTAACAACTTCCTTTGATTGCTCCTTCTCTGTTAATTGAATAGGGAGGGCCCCCCAAGGCCTCTCAGAGAGGAGGAGGAAGAGAGACAAGGAGAGAGGTGAGAGCTACAGGAGCAGCCCCCCAGGCCTGGGCTCAATGACCCAGAATTGTGATCCATCTCTGAGAAGCTCCCCCTTCCAGCTCTTGCTCTCCTGTCCATCCCCATCCCCCTGAACCTCCACCCTCCCAACCCCATCTCCCTTCCTTTTCCCTGTTTCTTGACTCCTGTCCAAATCCCCTTGACCTCTGACTATTTATCCTTCCTACTCTCTGCTCTTTTTTTTTTTTTTTTTTTTTTAGCGGTTTGGCAGTAAGGGGCTGCAAATATGCACCACTGCCTCCGAAAGGCAAGCGGAAGGCTACAGGGATGGAGTTTGGGTGGCCAAGGCTGTGTGTTTGTTTACACATGTGCATGTGTGTAGGTATAGGCGGGGAGCAGGAATAAGAACAGGTGCATACATGTAAGCTACTGAGTGCCTGCCCTGTGGTCCAGGCCTGTGGGTTGTGTGGGTATCTAGGGGTGTTTGTGGCTGTGAATGGCCTGGTGCTACTCTGGTCTGCATGTATGTCTGTGTCTCCACACGGGCCAGTGCTTGAATCAGTCAAGTGTGACTCGGAGCTTGCGTGTGTATGTGTGTGTGCACGCGTGTGTGTGCCACCAGAGGAAGCAGCAGCAAGAAGCAGGACATCGATCCGAAGGAGACAGCTCGGGGAGGGGGACGCTGGGGGCAGACACCCTCTCTCCCGCGCGCGCGCGCGCGCACACACACACACACACACACACACACACACCGCACAGTCACACACACAAGCCATAGGGCCTCGCAGGCAGGGAGACGGCTCCGGGACCGGAGGGAGGCAGCGCCGCCGCGAGCGGTCCGGAGGAGAGGGCGAGGCAGCGGGGGGAGACCTTGGTCCGGCTCCCGGGTCCGGGGCCCCCGCGCGCACACCGGCCCTGAGACACCCTCGCAGACACTCGTAGGCGCGCACGCGCACCCTCTCCCTTCCCCCTCCGCCTCCCCTCCTGCCGCCTCCCGGCCGGACGATGGATCCCTGCAGATCCCGGGGCTGAGAGGACCGCGCACCGCGCACCGCGCCGAGCCCGGGCGGACCCAGCCGAGGCAAGCAAACGAGTGAGCGCGCGCGGGCGGGCGAACAGAGCCGAGTCGAGCCGGGCCGGGCGGGCCGCTCCCTGCAGGGCTCTGCGCGGCGTGCCGCGGCGGCCGCCGGCTCCCGCTCCGGGCCATGAGCCCTTCCGCGGCTCGGCGTTGAACCCGCGTCCGGCCCCGCGCCCCAGGACCTGCCGCCAGTTGCCGGGTGCCCGAAGCCCCCTCAGGTGGGTCTCCGATCCCTTGCCTTTGGCTGCAGGACTCCCCAGTGCCCCGAAGCCGGGACTTTGCTCCCCTCTCGCTTTCCCCAGCTGCTGGGGCAGCTCGGTGGCTGGGGAGGGGGGCGGGGGCCGAGTCAGGGATCTGGCTGCGTCGAGAAGCTGGACTGACGGTGGGGGGAGGTTGCGTCCGGGGTGGGGACAGCTCGCAGTCATAGGTAAAACCCCACCCCCCGCCATGCCTGCTCCTCGGGCTGCCCTCCACCTCCAACCCCAACATACACACATCCAGCCTGCGCCGTCAAGAGACCTGGAGACGTCCGCAGGTGAGGACTCAGACTGGGCCCCTCCCCAACCCCCTGGGCGCTCTCTGGTTCAGGTTTAGCTCATCTGGGGGAAAGCCCAGTCCTGGGGACACCCTTGACCCGGAGCTCCTGTCCTCCGGTTCTGCTCATCTTGGGGAGTTTTCCTCTCCAGGATGGGGTGGACATTCCTGTCCCAGAGTGACCTCACATCTGGAGGGAATTCCTGCGTCTGCCTGTGGGAACACTGGGACTTCCCTCTCATCCTGGGATGACTACATCTGGGGTCTCCCCTGGCCTGGGAAGCTTCCCTAGGAGAGCTTTCTCCTGGCCTGATATAACTCCTGAGCCCCTGCATTTGGAGAAACCCTCTTCTGGGAGTGTGTCCCTCTGCCAGCCACCTCTGGGCTTGCATACCAGGGAAATCTGCCCCAGGGGCAGGGAACTCTGGAGACGGGGATTCTGGGATGGACACATTTGGAGGAACCCCATGTGCACTCTCATCCCAGGACAATGACAGACTCCTCCTCCCCCAGGATCCCCTTGGCCAGGATGGAACTGAAGGCTGAGGAGGAGGAGGTGGGTGGCGTCCAGCCTGTGAGCATCCAGGCCTTTGCCAGCAGCTCCACGCTGCATGGCCTGGCCCACATCTTCTCCTACGAGCGGCTGTCTCTGAAGCGGGCACTCTGGGCCCTGTGCTTCCTGGGCTCCCTGGCTGTGCTGCTGTGTGTGTGCACCGAGCGGGTGCAGTATTACTTCCACTACCACCACGTCACGAAGCTCGACGAGGTGGCTGCCTCCCAGCTCACCTTCCCTGCCGTCACGCTGTGCAACCTCAACGAGTTCCGCTTTAGCCAAGTCTCCAAGAATGACCTGTACCACGCTGGGGAGCTGCTGGCCCTGCTCAACAACAGGTGGGTGGTTCCCCCCAGCCCCTAGCCAGGCTCCTGGAGTTGCATGCATTCTAAACACCCCACTAGGGTGCTTGTCTCTCTAACCCACCATAAAGCCCGCACTCCCCTGCTGACAGCACCCCAAACTGGACACTCACAGCAAAGGAATTGGGATACTGCTGAGCACTCAATTAAGGGCACCCAATCTCTGATCCCAGCATAGTCCAAAACAGCTCTATCCTTACCCAGCTTGGGCTATGAGGCATCATCACTCTCAGTGGAGTGACCTTTGCCCACCCTCCTGTTCCTTTGTCTTGATTTCCTCACTTGGTAAACGGGGGCAGAGACTATAGTGGAGAAGCCCTAGCTTCTGCCTTGATCTCTGCCCCACCATGTGCTGAGATGCCCAGCCCCTGGGTAGCCACTGCAGATCACTGTCCTCTCAGACCCCATAGGGCAGGTCCTCTGGACATGCCTGGTTCTCCCATTGTGCCTATGCCCACCCTGATTCCCAGGGCTGGATGCTGCCCTGTCACCCTTTCCCCTGACTGTGAAATTGGATATGGGACACTGGAGGCCAACAGAGGCAGGAACTGAAAGTCATGCTGATACATGCACTGCTAACCCCTGGGCTCCAGATATGAGATACCAGACACCCAGATGGCAGATGAAAAGCAGCTGGAGATACTGCAGGACAAGGCTAACTTCCGCAGCTTCAAGCCCAAGCCCTTCAACATGCGTGAGTTCTACGACCGTGCAGGGCATGACATTCGAGACATGTTGCTCTCCTGCCACTTTCGGGGGGAGGTCTGCAGCGCCGAAGACTTCAAGGTGGTAAGTGAGTCCCTGGTGTGGGGCTTAAGTAAGCCTGTCCCCCAGAGGAGGAGACTAACCTTTCATAGTGCTTGCTACTCTGGGAGATGACTCTGGGTGTCCCTGGGGTCTGCTTCTGGCAGGAGGGGACTTTGTTCAGCACAGGGGCACATTTGCTGTGTATGTAGACCTAAGCCTCAGCTTTATGTCCACGATGGCAGGGAGAAGAGCCCACAGTGCACGACACAGAGCCCAGTAAGGCCTGGACCCCATTAGTGTTGCCTTTCTGGCCACAGGTGTCAGAGCTGGTGGAGTGGGGAGAGGGGGTAACCTGCAGCCTGTTACTTGAAATTAGGTCTGAGGATCATCATCTGGGAACTTGGCAGGACTTTGCCGTCCCACTTCCCAGACCTACTGAATCAGAATTTGCATTTTAACAAGATCCCTAGATATTTTGAATTAAAGTTTGTGAAGCACCGTTAAACATGGGAAGAAAGCTTTCCTAAATAGTGGCACAGGTAATTTTCTCTGTGCCACTCTCCCCCACTCTGCCCCCAGCACACACATGCACTCTATCTGGTTGGGTTTCCCCTTTGCCAGGAAGAGCCACAGAGCAAAGGGCTGATGAAAGAGAGATGATCTGGGGTACACAGTCACAGCCCAACCGGATGCTTTTTTTGCTTCTTAAACTGGAGATGCCCCACAGACACACCACTCTCCACAGTTGGGGCTGCCTCAAAGCCAGCACCCCAGGGAGGGTTAGGGGAACTGACTGGCAGGTCATGTGCCAGGTGATCCTGGGCATACAGCTTCCTGAGGGGTTAGAATCAGACAGAGGCTGGAAAGGGACCAAAGGGCCTGGAGCCCATGTATGAAAAATAACTCCAGATGAGAGGACAATGCTTGTAATTCTTCAGAATGCTTTCTAGACGCTCCTTCAATCCCCCTGAGTAAATAGCCATGTAATCTCTATTTTACAATGCACAAACCAAGACACAGAGAGGTAGATGAGTTGCCCAAGCTCACATAGCTAGCTAGTGACAGATTCAGGATTAGAACTTAAGTCTCCTTAAGTCCCAGTGCAGTGTGCTCTTTTTGTTAGTATTGCTGACACTAGAGTTATTGTGTCCACTTCAAATTTTGGCCATTGCTCTTTGAAAACCCAGTCTCCCCTAGACATTCTTGGTCTCCATGCCTGTTCCCAATTCTCCACTCTCAAATCCTCCCTTTTCTCCCTGCCTATTTTCTCCCCTACTTGCTCGCTTCCTTCTAGCATTATCGGAGCATGGACTGTGTTTTTTTTTCTTTTTTGTATGTAGAAAGGCTGGAGCTATGGTAATGCTTATTTTTTTTCCTGAGGTTACACAAGACTTTCCAATCTCTTTAAGCCTTGCTCTGCAGACTGGTTTCATGGGCCTTTCTTTTTTTTTTCAGTTCATTAATTAATTTTATTAAGGTATTATTGATATACAACCTTATAAAGGTTTCACATGAGAAAACAATGTTACTACATTCACCCCTCTTATCTTGTCCCTCCCATACCCCATTGCAATCACTGTCCATCAGTGTAGTAAGATGCCACAGAGTCACTATTTGCCTTCTTAGTGCTACACTGTCTTCCCCCTGATCCCCCCTACACCATGTGTGCCAGTAGCTTGCTACTCTGGGAGATGACTCTGGGTGTCCCTGGGGTCTGCTTCTGGCAGGAGGGGACTTTGTTCAGCACAGGGGCACATTTGCTGTGTATGTAGACCTAAGCCTCAGCTTTATGTCCACGATGGCAGGGAGAAGAGCCCACAGTGCACGACACAGAGCCCAGTAAGGCCTGGACCCCATTAGTGTTGCCTTTCTGGCCACAGGTGTCAGAGCTGGTGGAGTGGGGAGAGGGGGTAACCTGCAGCCTGTTACTTGAAATTAGGTCTGAGGATCATCATCTGGGAACTTGGCAGGACTTTGCCGTCCCACTTCCCAGACCTACTGAATCAGAATTTGCATTTTAACAAGATCCCTAGATATTTTGAATTAAAGTTTGTGAAGCACCGTTAAACATGGGAAGAAAGCTTTCCTAAATAGTGGCACAGGTAATTTTCTCTGTGCCACTCTCCCCCACTCTGCCCCCAGCACACACATGCACTCTATCTGGTTGGGTTTCCCCTTTGCCAGGAAGAGCCACAGAGCAAAGGGCTGATGAAAGAGAGATGATCTGGGGTACACAGTCACAGCCCAACCGGATGCTTTTTTTGCTTCTTAAACTGGAGATGCCCCACAGACACACCACTCTCCACAGTTGGGGCTGCCTCAAAGCCAGCACCCCAGGGAGGGTTAGGGGAACTGACTGGCAGGTCATGTGCCAGGTGATCCTGGGCATACAGCTTCCTGAGGGGTTAGAATCAGACAGAGGCTGGAAAGGGACCAAAGGGCCTGGAGCCCATGTATGAAAAATAACTCCAGATGAGAGGACAATGCTTGTAATTCTTCAGAATGCTTTCTAGACGCTCCTTCAATCCCCCTGAGTAAATAGCCATGTAATCTCTATTTTACAATGCACAAACCAAGACACAGAGAGGTAGATGAGTTGCCCAAGCTCACATAGCTAGCTAGTGACAGATTCAGGATTAGAACTTAAGTCTCCTTAAGTCCCAGTGCAGTGTGCTCTTTTTGTTAGTATTGCTGACACTAGAGTTATTGTGTCCACTTCAAATTTTGGCCATTGCTCTTTGAAAACCCAGTCTCCCCTAGACATTCTTGGTCTCCATGCCTGTTCCCAATTCTCCACTCTCAAATCCTCCCTTTTCTCCCTGCCTATTTTCTCCCCTACTTGCTCGCTTCCTTCTAGCATTATCGGAGCATGGACTGTGTTTTTTTTTCTTTTTTGTATGTAGAAAGGCTGGAGCTATGGTAATGCTTATTTTTTTTCCTGAGGTTACACAAGACTTTCCAATCTCTTTAAGCCTTGCTCTGCAGACTGGTTTCATGGGCCTTTCTTTTTTTTTTCAGTTCATTAATTAATTTTATTAAGGTATTATTGATATACACCCTTATAAAGGTTTCACATGAGAAAACAATGTTACTACATTCACCCCTCTTATCTTGTCCCTCCCATACCCCATTGCAATCACTGTCCATCAGTGTAGTAAGATGCCACAGAGTCACTATTTGCCTTCTTAGTGCTACACTGTCTTCCCCCTGATCCCCCCTACACCATGTGTGCCAGTCATAATGCCCCTGAATACCCTTCTCCCTCCCTCTCCATCCATCCACCCCCACCTCTCCCCTTTGGTAACTACCAGTCCCTTCTTAGAGTCTGTGAGTTTGTTGCTGTTTTGTTCCTTCAGTTTTGCTTTGTGGCTATATTCCACAAATGAGGGAAATCATTTGGTATTTGCCTTTTTCTGCCTGGCTTATTTCACTGAGTATAATATCCTCCAGCTCCATCCATGTTGTTGCAAATTGTAGAATTTGTTTTTTTCTTATGGCCGAGTAGTATTCCATTGTGTATATGTATCACATCTTCATTATCCATTCATCTACTGATGGACACTTAGGTTGCTTCCATATTTTAGCTATTATAAATAGTGCTGCAATAAACAGGGGTGCTTATGTCTTTTTGAATCTGAGAAATTATATTCTTTGAGTAAATTCCTAGGAGTGGAATTCATGGGTCAAATGGTATTTCTATTTTTAGTTTTTTGAGGAACCTCCATATTGCTTTCCACAATGATTGAATTAGTTTACATTTCATGGGCCTTTCTTTAGTCCTGTTAGGCAAAGATTCCATGATCACACTCCTTGCTGACCAAGCTGATGGGAATTTAAAATGATGCAAGAACCACTTTCTTTCCTCTTTTCCTTTCTCAGTACAGGAGAGTCCTGGATTCCCCAGAGCCCAAGACTAAAGGGTTCCCAGGCTTGCCAACTATGTTCCCAACAGTAGTAGCACCATAGGTGAAGGTGGAAGTGAAAGTCAGAACCCTCCTGCTCTGCAATATACACAACACACAAGCAGAAGGGCCACCAAGAAAGAGAAAAATCCATTCGTTTGGATGGTTTTTAGTGTTGGGTGAGAGAGCATATTGCTTGGCAACCTGAGAAGGTGCTAAGGTATAAAATGGGGGCATAGTCCACAGAGAGTGTTCAGTTGAGGCTCCATTTGTCCGTGCATCCAGAGAAGTTCCAAGTGGTGATGCTAAGACATGTTTGGTTCACAGAAATGGAGATGCTGAAATGTGACTGGTCCATGTTATCTGAGGGGACAATTCTAAGCAGTAAGACGGGTGTATGACTGGTTCACAAAGTCCTGGAGCAATCCAGGCTCTTTCTCTTGCTGGGGGTAGAGATACATGAACTAGGAGCCTGCTGGCCCAAAACTGCCACATCTTGGTTCAAGACGTCAGGGAAGACCAGATTTTTTCTGTTTCTGAGCCCTGACCCTGAATCTAGCTGGACCTAAACCTCTCAGCCCCACATTCTACCCTCTCCTGTTGACCACACTGCCAGCCCCTTTCCATGTCAGGAACTCCTCCACTTCTGCCACCAGGATGTTCCTGCACTGCTGGGAGGTTGGTTGAGTCGTGTCTGACACACGTGTGGTGGAGAAGGAGGGCCCTGGCACCTGTCTGCAGCCTCCCACTCCTAAGGAGCACTGCAACTCCTTGCCTGATGCCCCACCTTCCCTTTCCTCTCCTTGGTCTCATGGTTAACATCTGCCTCTCCACCCTTGCCATTCGCTACTGGGTCACAGGGCGTGTATCTAGCCCCTGGACAGAAGTGGCACTGGCAGAACATGTCTGTCTATTGGGTCCGACTTAGGAGAGAATATTTTGAGAGCATCACCTTGAGAGCAGAGGTTCTTAACTGTGGGGCAGGGTGTCGGGGAGGGTCCAAGCCCTGGGTTAACGTGTTTAAATATAGTGTGCCTGGGCACATGTAAACTCTTCTGTGGGTTTCCAAGGGCAGCCTCATCTAGCCATAAGTATCCTGTTCCTGGAGCACAGGTCAGGGGGCATAGGAAGGGCATACTC